AGAATGGCCAGCAAGATCACCTGATCTCATTCCATTAGATGTTTCTCCATTAGTTCATCCTTAAACAAAGTTTTTTGAATATAATACCAGCAATAGAATGGCCAGCAAGATCACCTGATCTCATCCCATTAGATGTTTCTCCATTAGTTCATCCTTAAACAAAGTTTTTTGAATATAATACCAGCAATAGAATGGCCAGCAAGATCACCTGATCTCATCCCATTAGATGTTTCTCCATTAGTTCATCCTTAAACAAAGTTTTTTGAATATAATACCAGCAATAGAATGGCCAGCAAGATCACCTGATCTCATTCCATTAGATGTTTCTCCATTAGTTCATCCTTAAACAAAGTTTTTTGAATATAATACATTTTTCTTCGTGGTTTTGATAGAATGGAGCAACAACCACAACTTGGAGTTTCTGAAATAAAATATTTGAATGCAATATTCGAAAATATTTGACCAGGCTGGAAAAGTGCCATAAAATGGCCAGCTGGATGACCTGACCTCATCCTATTAGATTTTTCATTCTAAGATCATCTCAAAACAAGGTTTTTCTGAATATTTCTTCGTGGTTTCAATAGGATGGAGCAGCAACCACAATTAAGAGTTCCCAGAATAGAATATTCAAATTAAATATTACCGAATAGATGGATAGGTCAAAACGGTGCAAGGAATGGTCAGCAAAATCACCTGATCTCATCCCATTGGATACTTTTTCATAAGGTCATCTCCAAAACAACGTTCACCGAACAAAATCTGCCTATTTATTGTAAGATATGAAAGGATTATCTTCTGAATATTTCATTGAATAGTATGTGAAATGAAGTTATTTTCCTTTGAGTTTTTCTATATGAGGCACAAAGAATTTCAATCTGTTCAAACATATCAAAACATGACCTTTTCTGCTGATTTCAATGTCAAAGGAAACCAATTTGTGGGTAATAGCACAGAAAGTGTGCAAAATGTTTGTGAAATGAATAATTGTTAATAACATGAAACTTTTTTGGCTCTTTTCACCTGTATTTTGGAATTCAAGTTTTCAGTATTTAAAATAGTTCAATCTCGAATAACCACCAGAGATATAAAAAAGTTGATGGTTCTATATTGAATTCAAAAATGTTTTTTTCATTCAAGGTACAACTCAACTCAAGGTCTCCAAAAATTAAAGCCGACGACTTTTCAAAATATTTCCAAAACAAATTGTTTGGTTCTGTGAACTGTTCGGCGGAAATCTCACTATGAAATTTCATCATATTTCCTCACTTTCTAACGATTTTTCAGAGATCAAATCAGCAGAAGAAAAACCACCACCAAGCGAAGTGTCGATGACTCTGGAAAAAGATCCAATCCCACGCCAACCTTTTCCTCTAGGGGCCGTTTCCGATCCAGAGACAACCCCCCAATCATCGACGAGTCGAAGCTGGAAGTTTTGCCTCTTTTCGAAACAGAACCAAAGATAGTCAACACCGAAGTCCTAGCCAGAAGCAGATCCAGAGGAGGGAATAGAGCCGACGACGAGGCTATCGTGACAAAGCTCAAAACCGAATCCAATGAGATAGAGCCTCCAGCTTACGATTCCAGGAGTAGAGTTAAAGAAAGCTTCCTCACCAGCGCTACAGAAAACGATGAGAAACTCATGAAACCTGACAGGGTCAGCGTAAGTGTGAACATTGAATCGAGAACTCAGGCAGATCCCACCCCGAGAAGGTCTTCGGTTGTGAGAGAGTCTGTTGTAGCGGAGGTCAGCGAGATCACTTCTAGAAGAACGGTGGTCAGGAGGAAGAACAACAGAGGCGTTATCAAAGCAATTTCCACAGAGGACAAGCCTAAGGCAGTGGTTGGGAAGCTGATACCCAACTCCAGAGGCAGCAAGAAATCTGAGGTTAATTTGAGCGCAATAGGAAAGAAGAAGGAGGGAGAGGAGATAGATGAGGCTGATAACTATCCGGAACCGTTTAAGGCCTTGATCAAAGCGAAGAAAGGGAAGAAGGTGTGTATGTTGAGATGATTTTGAAAGCAATCTTTGACTATTTCAGAACGGGGTTCTATCTATTTTAGGGTCTAATTTAGATGCTCAATTTTGTTTGAGGGGATGAATATAAAATGGTAGATGTTGATTCCAACCGGCATCGCCCGGTTTCAAGGGTGGGAATACAAGGAAAAATTGGATGATGGCGCTCCTAGAGGCAAAATAGCTCCCCAATCGGATCTCCGGGTCGGGGCTGATTTGACACAGAATTAAAGTCAGTGCTTGAACAATCCCCGTCAATTTTCTATATCCCGGCTATGATTTCCACTCCCGATTCAGGCGTAACTTTAAAATATCTCTTTTTACCAAAAACGATCTCATCTGTCAACGAGAGGAAATGCTGGAACCCCAAAACTTAGATGTTATGTGGTTTTAAATAATATCACAGAAGATCACTGCGTTTATCGACCACCAAGCGATACACACTATAGAGCACTTTCTTTTCACTTGCAAATACTATTGACTTTCTGCGTATTCCATATACTGTGATTTCAATATCCACAATATCGAATGGCTCAAATTTTCAAATGTAAAAGACGGACACGGTCGAGAAGCTGAGGCTTTTGCAGTAAACAGTGGACCTACCCAAATTATAAATGAGTCAACCAGGATGCCTGGCCTAGTCTTCCGGATCTATGCCTAAAAACCAATTCAGAAATTCACACACTCACCGTGAAGTGTCCACTGAGATCTTCTGACCACAAACTCATTTCATTGTTAAGTGAATTCTTGATGAATGTTGGGGAACAATCTAAGCCGCGCAAAGTTTGNATTGAATCATCCCGGTACACTATGGGCCGATATGCTAATTCGAACTTGCATCAAGAATTTCTCAATAAAATTTGATGTGCAACCGATGATTTGCCCAAATAAAAGGACGACTTTGATTGATAAATTATACATTCCAAGGTGCGACTGAACTACTTGAAATGTTAAACCTTTTTTCAGAGTGACGTGGAAATTTATAGCTCAAACTAGTTTTTTCGGATATTTAATGATGTGTACACGGATTCCATTTATTCGAAACTGACCGGTTGACATTAAGCTTCAAGGTGAAGAGATCTGGAATCTTTCTCTTTCTTAATTACTACTCGATGTGATGGAGTAATTTATTAACAATAGAAAAAATACTGTGGTTTGATGAAAAACAATCCTGACAAGTTACACTGTCACAAGTTTTATATCCTGCAAAGGAAAACTTGAAGAAGTTGGAGTTCCGCAAGGCTCTATTCGTAGACTGGTACTTTTCAACGAACCACTTAGCCAAAAAGATACTTCTATCAATGTCATTTTTTGAATTCAATCCAGTTCAGACTCAGAAAAATCATTCTAGGAAAAATACAACATTTTTTTGTGTTAAAAGGAGTATTTTACAAAGATTTAGGATGAAAACATCAACATAGACTTGTGCTGATTTTATATCTGCCAATTGCCAATTTGTAAATATTGCCAATTAATATTTTGAAATCGGTCAATTGATCTTTTTTGAATCTGTCAATTGTCACTTTTCAATTTGCCAATGGAGACTATTAAATTCATCGATTGACATTTAATCACCTATAATTGACATTTTTCGATTTGACACCTTTTAGATCTATCAATAGCAGTTTTCAACCTGCCAATTGACACTTTTCAAACTTTCATTTTTCTTTCACAATCACGTCATCAATGTCAGTTGATGTCATTGATGTCAGTTGATACATTTCAATCTGAAAATTGGTTTGTTTGAAGGTGATTGACAATGTTTCATGATGAATTTCACTAGTTCGGACTTCCATTGTCTACTATATAAAATTATTTGAAATCTCTGAAACAACTAAAAAAGAAGAATTAAAAATGAATAGCTGAAAATAACAATTATATTAAGCAAAATAAACCTGAAATGAAATAATAGTGAAATAAAATACATCACCTTAATTTCTAATCGATGCAGATGAATTCAAAATTTTTGTTCCTTCGGTTTTATGCGGTCTCGAACCTTGAGGTAATAATCATCAATCAAAAAAATTGAAGCATTCAAATCCGTTTGTGATTATAAAATTGGTGAAAAAAAAAACAACACAAGAAAGAAAGAAACGCCTACGACAGCCTTTATACAAAACAGTCTAAAGTCCGAATAAAACAGTCTATTCAGTACTATAATCTACAGAATACAGTATATAGCCTACAGTCAACATTACATTCTACAAAATAGTCTACAGTCTAACTACTATAGACTACAGCATACATACTATAGTCTAAGGTATAACTACTATAGTCTGTGGCAGTCTGACTACTACAGTCTGTTTGTATGAAGGTAGTTAACTATAGTCTATAGTATACAGTAGACAGTTCAGTAGACTACAGTATATAGTCTAAAATCAACAAATTTGTCTACAGTCTATAATCTGACTACTACAGTCTGATTACTATCATCTACAGCTTACAGTTTGTAGTCTACAATAAACGAAACAGTGTACAAAACGGTTTACTGTCTGACTATTATAGGCTACAGCATACATTCTTCAATATATAGTCAATAATACATTGTACAAAACAGTCTACAGCCTGACTACTGTAGTCTACAATAAACAGTCAGCAGCCAACAGTCTACAGTCAGTGACACAGTCTACAGTAAACAATACAGTATACAGTCAACAAATCAGTCTGATTACTATAGTCTATTGTCAACAGATAAATCTACAAAACAGTCTACAGTGTGACGACTACAGTTTGATTACCATAATCTACAGCATACAGTCTATGGTGTAGATACAGTTTATAGTATACAGTCAACCATACAGTCTGAAAAAGGCTATAAGTCTGACTACTACAGTCTACAGTCAATAATACAGTCTAGAGTCTGACTACTATGTTTGAAACAAACTCATTTTTATGGTCACATAATAAAAATTTACCTATATTTACGTATCAACTAAATATCAATTTCATAGTTAGTGAACAGATTCAATGGAGGGGGCTTATTCAATTTTGTCATTCAGTAAATGTTCCGTATTCTCAAATCTATCATCATAGTTGTGATTGAACTCAAAATGTAGTTTGCAATATGAATTGAAAAAAAACTACGCTTAAGCTCTTTTATTCTTTGGGAAAATGTTCTTTCCGTTTGGCCAATATAAGATTTTTGGCAAACATCACAAACAAACGTATATAATCCTAATCCATCCGAACAAAAGTTTTGTGTTTCCTGATATAAGAATCCTGCAGCCACGTAGTTTATAATTTTAGGCTTTCACACAAATGAAATTTACATTATCAGCATCAGAGGTGGATACAAACTCTTGGCAGAATCATATAAACATTATAGGACTATAAATCATTCAAATGGTTAGAGGAGCACATATTTCCATCTCGCCTGAATNTTTTTATATAATACTTCTATGTTGTGAAAGTTTGTGGACGTGAACCATATTTATTGTTTTTGTATTGCTCAACTTCTGTAGTTTTATTTTTGTTTTTTAATTATGACTTAGCACATGTACTCAATGTACCAAAGTGTCAAATAAATAAATAAATAAATTATTATCTGTTCGGGCCGTAGATCATAGTAATGTTTTGAAAAGATTAAATGTGTTAAATCTTTCACAGTGAAAATCAAAATGAATTGTATTAGCGAGTTTTTAAAAACAACTTCCATTCCAAAGGAAGTTGAACACACTCTCCAACCTTTATTCCTTGGAACTTTATTCTTGTGACATCAAAACCTTTGTACCAAATTTAGAAACATCCTGTTAGTAACATCATCTTCGGAATCACATCATTCTAATCAGAACAACCAAATGTTCGAATACCAACCAGCTACTACTTTCGATCTGGCGAATTATTCAAAAAAATATGATGAATATGCAACGTACGCGGTGATCGCCAGGATCAGCTTTCTCTTTTGAAAGTAAATACAAACCAGATTGAAGTCAAGGGTTAAAAATTCGAGACGAATGGAACGTAAAAGAACTCTGCGATGGTAATAACGTAATAATAATTATTGCTCTGTGATATCTGTAACGTTATTAAAACGTAATCAGAATTGTTACGGTGTTTAGACAAGGGGCACGATGGTTTTTAAAGTTACTGCACGAATTATTGGTCAAGCTAGAGCTGGATGCGGGGCGATGTATATACAGAGCTGAAAGAAGTGATTTATTAATCTCCTCCAGGCAGTTACTACTCATGTGGATTGCGTTTGTAACTATAGTAACTCATTGTACAGCTGTGTCACTGAAATTAACCCAAAACCCAAGTGTATCAGGTGGACTGAAAAGTTCGTACGGTAACACACAGATGGCGATACTTAGTATTGAATTCATATGACTTTTAGTCAACCCTAACCTTCAAAAGACACAAATTTCACAGCTGTCTGACTATTAGTTTGGGAGATAGAACATTTTGGGTGAAGCAACTATTCTAAGTTTGAAAAAAAAGGAAATGAAGAAATTCCTCTTGGGAAGATGTATATACAGAGCTGAAAGAATGTGAAAGTGATTTATTCATCTCCTCCAGGCAGTTACTACTGATGTGGATTGCGTTTGTAACTATAGTAACTCATCGTACAGCTGTATCACTGGAATTACAAAGGCTACTTCTCAAAAGCTTGGAACACTGTTCCGAACCAGAAAACTGAGTGGGAATACTTTCTGTATGAAATTGAATTATATTTCAAACGCATTCATGCATTATATTGTCATATTTTCACTTCATCATGAGATTTTCACTGGATAGTTCACAAAACTTTGACACGTATTTAACTGAACAATAGCTTGAACAATAACATAATATATTTCAGAAAATTCTCGCATAGGTTAGTAATCTATATTTTTACACCTTTCAAAAAAACGCGTACTTACGTATTTTGACGTGTCGATTACGAATCCGGAAAAACCCGGTGCTCTTCCTCATTCCTAGAGTTACAGCTCTAGAATGGAATATTCAAATACAATATTCTTGAAAACATCGAGAAGGTGCCTTGGAATGACCATCATGATCACCTGACCTCATCCCATTGGATTTTTTCATGAGGTTATATCATAAACATTGTATTTTCTGAATATACTACATTCTTCTTCGTGGTTTCGATATGGTTGAGCAGCAACCACATTTATTAATTCGTAGAATAGAATATTCAAATGCAATATTCTCGAATAGATGAATGGGCTGCAAAAGTGCATTGGAATGACCAGCAAGATCACCTTACCTCATCCCACTAGATTTTTTCTTATATGATCTTCTCATAGAAAGTTTCCTCTGAATTTACTATATTTTTTTTCATGGTTTCAATAGGACGGAGCAACAACCACTTCCAAGAATTCCTAAAATAGTATATTTGAATTCAATATTTCCGAATAGATGGATAGGCCAAAAAAGTGTCCTGGAATGTCCAGCAAGATTACCTGATCTCATGCCATTGGATATTTTATCATGAGGTCATAATATACAACATTTTTCTTCATTTTGATAGGACGGAGCAACAACCACTTCCAAGAATTCCTAAAATAGTATATTTGAATTCAATATTTCCGAATAGATGGATAGGCCAAAAAAGTGTCCTGGAATGTCCAGCAAGATTACCTGATCTCATGCCATTGGATATTTTATCATGAGGTCATAATATACAACATTTTTCTTCATTTTGATAGGACGGAGCAACAACCACTTCCAAGAATTCCTAAAATAGTATATTTGAATTCAATATTTCCGAATAGATGGATAGGCCAAAAAAGTGTCCTGGAATGTCCAGCAAGATTACCTGATCTCATGCCATTGGATATTTTATCATGAGGTCATAATATACAACATTTTTCTTCATTTTGATAGGACGGAGCAACAACCATACCTTAGAGTTACTAGAATAACATTTTTGAATGCAACGTTCTCGAATAGGTTGGAAAGTGTTTTTGAATGCCCAGCAAGATAACCTGACCTCTTCACATCAGATTTTTCTTCATGAGATTATCTTAAAACAAGGTTTTCCTGAATATACTGTATTCCACTTTGTGATTTCGAAAGCATGAAGCAGCAACTTCATTGAGAGCTCCTAGAATAGAATATTCAAATTCAATGTTCCCGAATCAATGGAAAGGTTGAAAAAGTGCCTTGGAGTGACCACCAAGATCACCTGACCTCATCCCATTAGATTTTCCCTCATAAGATTATCTCAAAACAAGTTTTTTCTAAATATACTATATTTCTTCGTTTTTTAAATAGGATGGAGCAATACATACATTTGAGAGTTTCTAGAATAAAATATTTAAACACAGCATTCTCAAATAGATGAGTATGTTGAAAAAGTGCCTTTGAATGACTAGCAAGGTCACCTAACCTCATCCCGTTGAATTTTTCCTCAAAGAATCATCTCAAAACAAGAAATATAGAAATGTAGGTTTTCACAGCTGGCGTCAATGTTTTGGTGACAATCTCCAGATTTTAACCAAAGAAGATAACAGTAAAGCCCGGAAACTAACCAAAACATACTATATTTCTTCGGTGTTTCAATAGAAAGGAGCAGCAATCGCATTTGAGAATTCCTAGAAGAGAATATTCAAATTCAATATTCCCGAATAGATGTATAGGTCAAAAAGGTGACTTGGAATAGCCAGTTAGATCACCTGATCTCATCCCATCAGATGTGTTCCCATTAGGTCATCCTTAAACATGGTATTTTGAATATATTTTAAAAGGATGGAGCAACAACCATAGCTTGGAGTTTCTGAAATAAAATATTTGAATGCAATATTCAAGAATATTTGACCAGGCTGAAAAATTGCCTTAAAGTGGCCAGCAAGATGACCTGACCTCATACTATTAGACTTTTTCATATAAGATCATCTCATAATGAAGTTTTTTTTTAATATACGATATTTCTTCGCAGAAGATGGAGCAGCAACCACATTTAAGAGTTCTCAGAATAGAATACTCTAATTAAATATTACCGAATAGATTAATAGGTCAAAACGGTGCCTAGGAATGGCCAGCAAGATCACCTGATCTCATCCCATTAGTTGTTTCTCCATTAGTTCATCCTTAAACAAAGTTTTTTGAATATAATACCAGCAATAGAATGGCCAGCAAGATCACCTGATCTCATCCCATTAGATGTTTCTCCATTAGTTCATCTTTAAACAAAGTTTTTTGAATATAATACATTTTTCTTCGTGGTTTTGATAGGATGGGGCAACAACCACAACTTGGAGTTTCTGAAATAAAATATTTGAATGCAATATTCAAGAATATTTGACCAGGCTGGAAAAGTGCTTTAAAATGGCCAGCAAGATGACCTGACCTCATCCTATTAGATATTTTTATTGTAAGATCATCTCAAAACACGGTTTTTCTGAATATTTCTTCTTGGTTCCAATAGGATGGAGCAGCAACCACATTTAAGAGTTCTCAGAATATAATACTTTAATTAAATATTACCGAATAGATGAATAGGTCAAAACGGTGCCCCTAAGAATGGCCAGCAAGACCACCTGATCTCATCCCATTAGATGTTTCTCCATTAGTTCATCCTTAGACAAAGTTTTTTGAATATAATACCAGCAATAGAATGGCCAGCAAGATCACCTGATCTCATCCCATTAGATTTTTCTCCATTAGTTCATCATTAAACAAAAATTTTTGAATATAATACATTTTTCTTCGTGGTTTTGATGAGTTTTGTATTTGAGATTTTGATGTCGTACTCTGGAATGATGAGTGATAGGTTTTCTCAAAGTCAATAGATAAGATTCCCATTAGATGTTTCTCCATTAGTTCATCCTTAAACAAAGTTTTTTGAATATAATACCAGCAATAGAATGGCCAGCAAGATCACCTGATCTCATTCCATTAGATGTTTCTCCATTAGTTCATCCTTAAACAAAGTTTTTTGAATATAATACATTTTTCTTCGTGGTTTTGATAGAATGGAGCAACAACCACAACTTGGAGTTTCTGAAATAAAATATTTGAATGCAATATTCGAAAATATTTGACCAGGCTGGAAAAGTGCCATAAAATGGCCAGCTGGATGACCTGACCTCATCCTATTAGATTTTTCATTCTAAGATCATCTCAAAACAAGGTTTTTCTGAATATTTCTTCGTGGTTTCAATAGGATGGAGCAGCAACCACAATTAAGAGTTCCCAGAATAGAATATTCAAATTAAATATTACCGAATAGATGGATAGGTCAAAACGGTGCAAGGAATGGTCAGCAAAATCACCTGATCTCATCCCATTGGATACTTTTTCATAAGGTCATCTCCAAAACAACGTTCACCGAACAAAATCTGCCTATTTATTGTAAGATATGAAAGGATTATCTTCTGAATATTTCATTGAATAGTATGTGAAATGAAGTTATTTTCCTTTGAGTTTTTCTATATGAGGCACAAAGAATTTCAATCTGTTCAAACATATCAAAACATGACCTTTTCTGCTGATTTCAATGTCAAAGGAAACCAATTTGTGGGTAATAGCACAGAAAGTGTGCAAAATGTTTGTGAAATGAATAATTGTTAATAACATGAAACTTTTTTGGCTCTTTTCACCTGTATTTTGGAATTCAAGTTTTCAGTATTTAAAATAGTTCAATCTCGAATAACCACCAGAGATATAAAAAAGTTGATGGTCAGCTTACGATTCCAGGAGTAGAGTTAAAGAAAGCTTCCTCACCAGCGCTACAGAAAACGATGAGAAACTCATGAAACCTGACAGGGTCAGCGTAAGTGTGAACATTGAATCGAGAACTCAGGCAGATCCCACCCCGAGAAGGTCTTCGGTTGTGAGAGAGTCTGTTGTAGCGGAGGTCAGCGAGATCACTTCTAGAAGAACGGTGGTCAGGAGGAAGAACAACAGAGGCGTTATCAAAGCAATTTCCACAGAGGACAAGCCTAAGGCAGTGGTTGGGAAGCTGATACCCAACTCCAGAGGCAGCAAGAAATCTGAGGTTAATTTGAGCGCAATAGGAAAGAAGAAGGAGGGAGAGGAGATAGATGAGGCTGATAACTATCCGGAACCGTTTAAGGCCTTGATCAAAGCGAAGAAAGGGAAGAAGGTGTGTATGTTGAGATGATTTTGAAAGCAATCTTTGACTATTTCAGAACGGGGTTCTATCTATTTTAGGGTCTAATTTAGATGCTCAATTTTGTTTGAGGGGATGAATATAAAATGGTAGATGTTGATTCCAACCGGCATCGCCCGGTTTCAAGGGTGGGAATACAAGGAAAAATTGGATGATGGCGCTCCTAGAGGCAAAATAGCTCCCCAATCGGATCTCCGGGTCGGGGCTGATTTGACACAGAATTAAAGTCAGTGCTTGAACAATCCCCGTCAATTTTCTATATCCCGGCTATGATTTCCACTCCCGATTCAGGCGTAACTTTAAAATATCTCTTTTTACCAAAAACGATCTCATCTGTCAACGAGAGGAAATGCTGGAACCCCAAAACTTAGATGTTATGTGGTTTTAAATAATATCACAGAAGATCACTGCGTTTATCGACCACCAAGCGATACACACTATAGAGCACTTTCTTTTCACTTGCAAATACTATTGACTTTCTGCGTATTCCATATACTGTGATTTCAATATCCACAATATCGAATGGCTCAAATTTTCAAATGTAAAAGACGGACAAGGTCGAGAAGCAGAGGCTTTTGCAGTAAACAGTGGACCTACCCAAATTATAAATGAGTCAACCAGAATGCCTGGCCTAGTCTTCTGGATCAATGCCTAAAAACCAATTCAGAAATTCACACACTCACCGTGAGGTGTCCACTGAGATCTTCTGACCACAAACTCATTTCATTGTTGAGTGAATTCCTGATGAATGTTGGGGAACAATCTAAGCCGCACAAAGTTTGGCACTACAGATTTGCTGAGTGGGATGATCTTCAAGACCATTTTCGAAATGGCCAGCTCTAATGATCCGTCAACTCGTGCTTTTGAGGTCACGGAAGCTATTCTATCATCCATGGATACATATAATTTTTTTTCAGTGGTTATAAACACGTTTGGGAAAATGCCTTCTACCATTGCTGAGTTTCTGAACCTCCCGGAACCAAAGGAATATACAGGTCACTGTTCCAGGAGGTCTTCTGCTTCTTTGCTAGCAGAATCAGTAGCAAATATAACGGATATTAAAAAGCGCGGAGGATGGAAGTCTACAACAGTAGCTGAGGGTTACAACGATCAATGTATTTCTCATAAAAATTCTATTGCTGAAAGAATAATTCCAATAGCTAGCTCCAGCGTTACAGCATCGTCCTTTTCACTTCAAGAATTAAATGTTAATGCCAATGAAATTGTCATCTCAGATAGTTCAGATATATTACAAGGCTCTTCAACATCGCAAGATGTTAATATCATCAGTTGTTCTAATTGTACTCTCCATATCAATGCTAATAAATAATAATAACGTAATTAATGTATATGATACATTAGTAACAGAATGAGTTACTAGGATGCTGTGTACGAAACTGTTATTTCCAATTGAAGGACGAATTCTTTACACAAGATGAGGGACTGCCAATGGGATCGCCACTTTTACCANAAATGAATATTTTGTCAGAAAAATGACAATTCACAAGGGTTAGTTTAGTATTTGTAATATCTCATTTTATGAAACATTCAGTAACAAAAACATAGTATTATCTAGCAAGAAACTGGATCTTTTTTGTTATGGATTTCAAGTTTAATAAAATAAACTATAATACAGGGTGTAACTGAATAAGTGTGAAACATTTAAGGAGGTGATTCCTCATCTAAAAAAAATATAGGATCTTTCATATAAAGAAACCTCATTGGAGCATCCCTTGTTAAGATACAGCCCCTTAAAGGGGGTACATGAAATTTGTTTGACAATTTTTTTCACAAGCACTGAAAAAGTGACAATATTGAAATTAACCTGACGTTTTGTACTACCAAAAAGACACTTAGCCAGAAATTTATTTGGTTCACCCCATGGTTGTAAGGGGTGGAAAACGCAACCCCTAAAATTTATTTCCAATGTAACTTTTTGTCTAATCATTTGTTTGCCATTTGAAAATTTATTTCCGATAGCCTATTTCATTCTAAACAAAAAATGTCTCCTGGGTTTTTTGCCAAAAATCAACCAGTTCGCAGCAAAAAAATATTTTAGAAACAACTACAGAGTAACATCGTCATAAATGCTTTTTCCACCCCTCACCACTATGGGGTGAACCAAATGAATTTCTGGCTAAATGTCTTTTTGGTAGTACAAAACGTCAGGTTAATTTCAATATTGTAACTTTTTTAGTGCTTGTGAAAAAAATTGTTATACAAATTCTATGTACCCCCTTTAAGGGGCTGTATCTTAACAAGGGATGCTCCAATGAAATTTCTTTATATGGAAGATCCTATCTTTTTTTCGATGAGGAATCACCTCCTTGAATGTTTTACACTTATTTAGTTACACCCTGTATATAACAAAAATATTGTACTGCTGCCTAGGCGGTAAATCCGGGTAAAACTCTACCATTTTTTTTCATTGTTGTCTGAAATTGCTGACACATGGCTTCATTACAACTTGAAAAATACAACAAACCTTCCTTTCATTACAGAAACCCGACGTAGCTTCGGAAACCCCAAGGCCATCCAGATCACGTGGAAGATCCAGATTCTCAGCCACCCAGGAATACCAAACCTTCAAAGAAGCCACACCAGCTCAATCGGAACCCACAAGCAGGCGGGTAGTTTCCAGAAAACGAGTTCCAGATCACTCTGAGCACAAAACACAACCAAAACCAGTCGCTACAGAGGCTATGGAAAGACGTTCTTTCACCGTAGCTGAAGCTCCCGAAAGACGTACGCCTAGACCGGTAACAACCGAAGCTACTGAAAGAAGAGCCTTCAAATCGGTGCAAAAACCCATCAGCAGACCTTCCTATGAGGTGCAGGAAATCGTAGACGAAACAAACCATGAACCGTTCACAAAGGTCAAAAAAACCAGAGTGTTAACTGAAAGTAAATTCGAAGCCCAAAACTTTCCAAGAAGAAACTCGATTCAGCAACAACCACTAGCTTCGGAGTATCCTGAGCTACCAAGAAGTACTTCAGTTCGGACTATAAAGAAGCTGGTTCATCACGAGCCAACTTCATCTGCAGCTCCCCCTCCGGAACTTGAAGACTCCAACGCCATAGAGGAACCTCTAGACACCACCTTCAAAACCCTCGTCGCAGACTCCATCAGCGAGGAATCGGTTTCGGAGGAAACTCGTGAAGAGATTCTAAAGACGATTCCAGCCATAACTACACCCAGATCTGTAGAAGCCCCCAGACCTACAAGTGGCCACAGAAGATCAAGCGTGAGGAGGAACCCAAACACCTTCTCCGAAGCGCCCACCCAAGCAAGCAGATCTAGGACTAGAGTTAGAGGTACCAGGGCACCCGAGGTTGTTTTTCAGGCAGCGCCTTCCACGATACCTTCCAGGAGCAGTAGAAGAAGGATTGAGTCGTCCACGCCTCTTGTGGAAGCTACTAGAAAAGGACCTTCTGTGTTTAGCGCTGAGTTTGCTCATAGCGAGGGAAGATCAAGGACAGGGAGGAAGATAGAGACTTTTAGCCCGGAGAAGATCACCCTAGATCTGTCATCGAGGGGTAGACCAAATGAAAGATCCAGGTGAGTAGGAAGACTTTCTGTATGAAACTGAACCATATTTCAAACGCATTCATACATTATATTGTCATATTTTCACTTCATCATGAGATTTTCACTGGATAGTTCACAAAACTTTGACACGTATTTAACTGAACAATAGCTTGAACAATAACATAATATATTTCAGAAAATTCTCGCATAGGTTAGTAATCTATATTTTTACACCTTTCAAAAAAACGCGTACTTACGTATTCTGACGTGTCGATTACGAATCCGGAAAAACCCGATGCTCTTTCTCATTCCTAGAGTTACAGCTCTAGAACGGAATATTCAAATACAATATTCTTGAAAACATCGAGAAGGTGCCTTGGAATGACCATCATGACCACCTGACCTCATCCCATAGGATTTTTTCATGAGGTTATATCATAAACATTGTATTTTCTGAATATACTACATTCTTCTTCGTGGTTTCGATATGGTTGAGCAGCAACCACATTTATTAATTCGTAGAATAGAATATTCAAATGCAATATTCTCGAATAGATGAATGGGCTGCAAAAGTGCATTGGAATGACCAGCAAGATCACCTTACCTCATCCCACTAGATTTTTTCTTATATGATCTTCTCATAGAAAGTTTCCTCTGAATTTACTATATTTTTTTTCATGGTTTCAATAGGACGGAGCAACAACCACTTCCAAGAATTCCTAAAATAGTATATTTGAATTCAATATTTCCGAATAGATGGATAGGCCAAAAAAGTGTCCTGGAATGTCCAGCAAGATTACCTGATCTCATGCCATTGGATATTTTATCATGAGGTCATAATATACAACATTTTTCTTCATTTTGATAGGACGGAGCAACAACCATACCTTAGAGTTACTAGAATAACATTTTTGAATGCAACGTTCTCGAATAGGTTGGAAAGTGTTTTTGAATGCCCAGCAAGATAACCTGACCTCTTCACATCAGATTTTTCTTCATGAGATTATCTTAAAACAAGGTTTTCCTGAATATACTGTATTCCACTTTGTGATTTCGAAAGCNGCTGCAAGTACATTAGTGAGGACTGCAACGATGAGATGGAAGTTACGGTAAAGTGACAAAGACAGAAATATCGTTGCGTACAGCGTTGCCACTAGTTGTAATAAATATCTAACACTATACAGAAAATAATCCGTTCGGCGGAAATCTCACTATGAAATTTTCATCATATTTCCTCACTTTCTAACGATTTTCAGAGATCAAATCAGCAGAAGAAAAACCACCACCAAGCGAAGTGTCGATGACTCTAGAAAAAGATCCAATCCCACGCCAACCTTCTCCTCTAGAGGCCGTTTTCGAACGAGAGACAACCCTCCAATCATCGACGAATCGAAGCTGGAAGTTTTGCCTCTTTTCGAAACAGAACCAAAAATAGTCAAGACCGAAGTCCTAGCCAGAAGCAGATCCAGAGGAGGCAACAGAGCTGACGAAGAGGCTATCGTGACAAACCTCAAAACCGAATCCAATGAGATAGAGCCTTCAGCTTACGATTCCAGGAGTAGAGTTAAAGAAAGCTTCCTCACCAGCGCTACAGAAAACGATGAGAAACTCATGAAACCTGACAGGGTCAGCGTATTCGTTCGTCGTAATATTTGGAAACATGTTTTTCACATCAAAGGATACTAATTTAATGTTATTAATGTTGTTAATATTGGCCAGCTTATTGGCCAGGTCTATGGAATTCATCACGGTATTTGTTGAATTTTGTTAGCTGAACTTAGAATTCAAGAATTTTGACAACTTACTGGTTGAAGCGTCAATGTAGGATACGACTGGTCTGGTGGGGTTGCCTTCTTTATGAAGTTTAATCAAACCGTACATCTCTGGAGGTTGGGGATTCATACAAATTGTTTTCTTAACATCCCAGGGAGTGAGGAACAGCATCTTTGCTTTTTCCAAGGACTTTTTGACTTCATCGGAGAATTATTTCGTGGGGACTTTCTTTAAGAGGGTAATATCCAGTGTGTCAACAGTGTTCTGCATTTTTGAATGGTACTCCCCTTCTTTTATGCATGATATACTGTAACCTCACTCTCTCATTGTATTGGCAGCTGTTTTTTCTATCTGCCTCACATGACCAAGCTCGCGAAACTGCTTCTCTCTTTTGCTCATTGCTCCTTAATGCAGTAAATTAGGAAATTTCTCATGAAATAAGGGTGCTACTTCCTGTTGTGTTTGGTTTCTATCTCCATAACCAATCATTTGTAATACTATTATTTCAAGCATTTCCGTTAATCTAACCATTTGTCAGACTTGAAGTTAACGAACTTGAATTAAAATACTGAAAACTGATGTTGTAACATACAAAACAAGTTGACAAGGCGTTTTAAACTAACATTGTCACGGAAATCATTTAAAGTATTTTAAAAGATACCATCTAAAAAGAACATTGCTATGGTTTTTGCTTACTTCCTTATTATCAATACCTCAACATGAAATAAGTTTTGAGTATATTTTATCGAATTTCGGTAACCACATGATTATAATTAATTTCATCTTGATTGTTGCAATTAACTTGAAAGCGGTAACATTTTTGAATAAACAATGAAAAGACCTTTCAAACGATATATCACAGGCCTATACTTCCTATTAAAAAAAAATGGAGCTTGTACCTGTCATTTGACGAGGGCCTCTATCTTTAGACCAAAAATATGGAGAACTTTCAAGGTCGTAGAATAATGAAATACATGATTGCTTCTTCTTGTAATGTTATCCAAAAGAGTGCTGATGAAGTACTAAGAAAAGTGTTTTGTCCCGAAACTTTGAAGTACACTATTGAGGAGAAGAGTGTTCCATGTAAGTGACCTTTCTATGGAAGGTTCACACATATGTTGTTCAATAAAGGAGGAGTAGAAAGCTGCAGAGCGTTTTTTTCAAAAAAACTAATTTTTCCTCAAAATAAATCTATTTCAATTCCAGAGATAAGACGAATGTAAATAATGATAAAATCCATGGGGAAGTGGGTTTTATTTGAAAGACATTTTTTGTGGGGCAGTCATGATTTTTGCCGATTTTTTGGGAATTTAAACTTTAACAATTTGAAAATCGAATAAAATTAAGTAACTTTTCTGAGTGAATTTTCCAGTTTGTCTTTTATCATACTTTAGCAGATTTCCTATTGATTTAGCTCCGTTTATTTTACATATTGCGGAAAATTGAATACCACAAAAATGAAAGTGAATATTTCAACCTACCTCTATTCCTAAAGCTACGGTAAATTTTTTCGGCAATTTCATCTTCAATTACCGATTTCACCGCTAATCTGAGTAAATATGCCGTTGGTAATTCAATAAACTTTTCACACGTTATTACGACTTTCTTTAAAGATAATTCCATATACAAAATTCACCAAAAACCATACAATTAGAACGAATAACGTTAGATACACCTGATTTACGTAATTACTCACCGTCAGTTTGCGTAATACTATTCCCAATGATAGGAACAGAATTTCTGATCAATGAATAACTTACTTTGAGGTACTCAATATTCAAAGTATGATGTGAATATTCATTTTGCTCAAATAATTTTTATGCATTCATCAATTGCTATGTTGTCCCTATCAAAGTATTCCCCTCAGATATAAAACACTTGTGCCAGAATTTTTTTAATTCTCAAAGAAGTTCTGTTATGCACTTTTTGGTATGTTTTGGAACAGACCCCGTACATCTGAGTCGGAATTCATAACATCGTTGGGTAAGTTATTCCATGTTTCGAAAATACGATTCACCAAAAAATATTGTCTCTGCCTCGTTGCGAATTTTCCCTTTTTTAATTTAAGTGTGTGACCACGTAACCGCGAATCGAAAGCAATCGAAAGCCTTCGAAATGTCACAGAAAATTGCAGCGGCTACTTCACCAGTATTTATTTCTGAATAAATTTCATAAAAGAAAGAAAATTACATCACTTGCATCTTTTTCCGTCTGGAACCCAAATTGGTTGTTAATCATGATATCATGCAAATATAAGAAACCATTCAATGATTTCTTCACTAATTTTTCAATGATTTTCATCAAAGTTGGAATAAGAGAAATGGCATTATCCAAATCACAACCTTCATCTAGGGGAATAACAATTGTTTCAAAGGAAGGAGGGAATGAGCCCGTTTTGATGAAATCATTACTGATATCAACTAAAGTTTCCAATGCATTGTAGATTCAAAAGTATTTTCACCAAATTTAAGCGCTTTCTAGGACTTACTAGTACGGAGAAACAGAGATAAATGAGTGAGTTTCTCATTCATATGTATAGATTTGTTGAAAACTGTTACATCCCTAAAAGTAACCCAAGTTAGGACCTTTTTTTGTGCTGTTATGTTTTATATTTTACTAGTACTATGTTGCTGTTCTACATCGCTATATAGTGGCGAGTTACCAAAAACAACACCTTAATCATGCCTCAGCTACCGCATTTACCAGATTTGGCCCCCTGTGACATTTTCGTGTTCCCAAGATTGAAGGGGCCTATAAAAAGACGGAGTTTTGCAACGATTGATGAGATGTACCAAGAAGTGCACATCAGAACTTCTTAGAGGATTGAGAAAAACTCTAGCACAAGTGAATTATATCTGAGGGGGACTACTTTGCAGGGAACAGAATAAAAATTGATGAATAAATGAATATTTATTTACAAAAATGAAGTTTCACCCTATTTTTTGAACAGTGGTTGATTTGAAAACTATAATCATTGTTATTTCAAAAACGGTTTTGTCCCACAGTACGAAAGAAAGAGCGACATCTGGGGAATTTTATCTTTGATTGTAAAAGTCGTTGTATTTAAATTAATATATATTTTCACAACATTCAAATACGAGTGTTTGAATGTTCTAGCAGACAATTTCAGAAACTGGGAACCCTCAAGTCGAATCAAACCGTGAACGTGGCATTAAATTACTGAAAATATATTTATCTGCCATTTTCTGCGGTTATGCTTTCGAATTCGTAGCATACGGCAACGTTATTACTTTATTTACTATAAAATATTCATCAATTATAATACAAGGTAATTTCATGGCCGTTCCCAGTGGGTTACTTTCATTATTGATGCAGGTTGCAATTGAGTCGTTGTATAAGACCCAACACGATACCAAATGAAGGCGTTGAAATCAGAGCGATTCGTGTTTTTGCTCGATTATGCAAGGACATTTACGTTGAACTGAAAAAAGGGATGAAAAACATGAGCATTCTTTCACAAACACGATAGTAGAGGAGGAGTTAACCCGTTAAAAAAATAAAAGAGGGGTATAAACTGCATTAATGTGAAGTTTCATCTAAATCCGTTCAGTTGTTGAGCCGTGAAGAAGCCACAAACTCACATACATACATAGATACATACATACATTTATCTTTCTTATTAGTCAATGGGCTATGCTTGAAGACTGGCAATTAACAAATCTAAAGCAAATGGAACTTCAAACGTTCAAGCCAGTCTCTATATACCTACACAGTAGGTTTAATGGACTGACGCCTATCAGAAAACAACTACTCCCCTGGCTAANAAACTTCTATATTTATAATATTAGTAGAGGTGAAGGTATTATTGTTCCTGGTATTAGAATTTTTTCACTGTATATTTTCCTCTCTTTCAGAATATTTTAAGTTTTGTCATTGAACTAGACTACTAATTATGACAAATCAAATTCGTCATGATTCCCGTTTCAAAGAATGAATCGCACATTACATGATATTCACAATATTGAAAGTGTCAGAGTTCCTGACAGCGTATCAATATGACAAAAAATTATTTAAGCATATCGCTGAACAATTTTGAAACAACTAAGTACCTGTATCAATACTTGCCTAACCAAAACCCATTTGAGCGTTGCAAAAAGTTAATTGAAACATTCGACCGAATTATCTTGACATGTGTGCAATGTCAGATGGATATTTAAGTGCTTACACACTTAAATAGCATCAAAAATTGAGGTTTTTCACTTGAAGTGAAAGTTTGAACACATATAACGAGAATATACTGAAAAATAACTATTTCGAAATATTAATCTCTCCCAACTACCTAAACTGTAGGCTTTGGTAAGTGTCTGCCGGAAAACTACTTCCCCAGTTAATACCACGCTGAATATTGCATTACTCTTCCCCGCTTGGTGCTTTGTTCACGAGATGGAGTTGTTATCAGTTAACAATCTTTCTGTTAGACGGAAATTTCATACACGCAGTTGAGCCATGTTGAAATCGATCGAGTTCCAGATTCCAGAAATTTACAGTCACCGTGAGGTCTCCGTTGGGATCCTTTGGCCACAAACTCATTTCAGTGTTGAGTGAATAACCGATAAATGTTGGGGAACAATCTAAACCGCGCAAAATTTGGCATTGCAGATCAGCTGAATGGAACGATCTTCAAAACTATTTTCGAAATTTTCCCTGGTTAGATATTTGCTTCAGCTCTAATGATCCATCAACTTTGCTTTTGAAGTCACATATGTTATTCTATCCATGGCTGCGAATATTCCCTTTTCAATGAAACGAACTTGGTTTTAGTAATGGTTAGGCAGAACCAAAAATTATATGATAGGACTGCTTCAGAACACAGTTATAATACAAGAAGTGGTGATCTT